CACATAAAAATAAAATAAAGGTGTTGTGTCCACCGAAAACTAAAAAATAAATATTAAAAAATTCTCTCTCTCTCTCTCTCTCTCTCTCTCTCTCTCTCTTAAAAAAAAAGCTTTAGTGCTGTTTAATATTTATTAAGGTTCCATGATGGCAAGAGACAGTTTATTTTTATTCTCATTTTGCAGACAAAGTGAAGACACAGAAAGGAGGAATTTGGTTGATGCATTAAATGTCAGGCCCAGGTCATGACCACAGCAGTATGATTTTATAGTATACACTGTCATCTTCCCTGTGTGATTCTGCATATGAAAGTACAGTCAACATCCAACAGGTTAAGTTTAAATACCAGTAGACTTATTTATTTGGAAGCCTCTGGGCTTTACATGTTGTGAATACAATGGATATGTAGGAACTGTACAACCCAAGAAAATTTAGTGGTCTTCCACATGAATTGTGTAAGATTTTTTTTTTTTAAAGCACTAGAGAAAATGGAAGAAAGTGGTTAATCCAGATTCCCAGGAATGTATGGTACCTGCACATTCACAAGTGTTTTCCACATATCTCTTATTTTAACTGTGATATTTTGGGATCATTGCCATCAATGTCCTTCAAAGTTTGGAAAGAAATATGAGATCTCAATTATTATTTTAATACAATGGTAGTGAGTCACCAAACCAAGACCATTATTGGTATAATTTCAATTTTTACAGGTTCTATGTACATACAATCAGAACTAAATAAAACTCACCATTGGTCAGAAAAGGGCCCTCCAGAAATGTGCAAATGATACTCTGTTCTAAACTAGATGAGCAGTTCCAGGTTCTCCTTGCCTGGGGTGGCAGCTGAGGTTCAGAGACCCAGGGGAATAAGAAACAGGAGAACAATAACCAGGGTTTTTTGCATATATGTAGGGAAAAAGAACCAGAGCCTGCTAAAAAGAACCTATTCTAGACATTTCACACCTGGAATTGTGCAACTCCAATAGTTCTGAGTTTAATATAATAATTGTGAATTGGCAAATTAACAAAGAACTATTTGCAGAATGGAAATCACTCACCCATAATTATGTAACTGGTTATTTAGAGATTGGTGGTATTCTAAACCCATATTCTTACCCTCACTACCATATGGCCATAGGGTCTCGAGCCTTGGTCTAGCAATTCCTTGTTTTAGGTCTCCTTTTAGAAGAAGAATGTGGAACAGAGCAAGGGTATGAACTCTATCAGCTGGGCTGCATTGAAACATCTGGTATAGACATGTAGAATGGGCAAAAAACTTCATTAATTTAAGCTCATTGCCCACCTCTGGAAAATGTGAGAAAACTAGCTGAATCACATCATAGAGGTTTTCTAAGGTTTAAGAACAAAAGTGCATGCAGACCCCCATCTCTAGCCTTCTGTATAAAATGACTCTGTGACAGTTCATGTTACTAGCAGCTAGCGAAAGATGAAAAATAAATAAACAAATCTAGAAGTAAGTTGATATTATGCTTGCCCCTGTCACTACAGGGAAAAACAGACACACAAATAAATGAAGTCCGTTTGTAAAAATAATTCAGAGCATGCCACTATATCTTCTAATTCACCATCATCTTATCTAAAACAATTTATTTGCTATGATAATACAAGGTCTAAGAAATGATGGATTAACTCTAGATAGGGCAGAGGGGTGGGAAAGGAAGGGAGGGGGTGTGGAGTTAGAAAGGATAATGAAATGTGATGGACATTATTATTCAAAGTACATGTATAAAGACATGAATTGGTGTAAATATACTTTGTATAAAACCAGAGATATAAAAGATTGTGGTCTATTTGTGTAATAAGAATTCGAATGCAACCTGCTGTTACATATAAATTTTAAAAATTAATTAAAAATGAAAAACAAAGAAATGATGGATTAATTTAAAATTGGACTCAGTCTATTCTGCAACTTTCAGCCATTCTAAATTTTCTACCCTAAGAAAGGAGCTCAAAAATAAAGACGATCATGAGCAGAAAAAGCTGTAACCTAACATAAGTCAAAGTACACTAAAACCATTTTCCTCTTTCAAAGAAGCATCATAATGAGTTAAAAAATGAAAACATATACTAAACAATTATCCATCACCATGTTTTACTCTCTTTGTGTGATTTATGTTTGTGTGTAATATCCACTGACAGAGATACATGAGAATCAATCTATATTAATAAAAGGTAGTACCTTATGAGTGATCATTGCTGTGTCAGACACTAGTTTAAATGCCTTGTGTGCATTTTTTTCATTTAAATACCAAAAAAAAATATTTAAGCCGTTAAGATCAAGTTATCAATTCTGAAAATATTTCAATATAATCACCATGGATGCATTTAAATTGGTCAGAAATCATTATTAAAATTAACCATTACTTCTCTCAAAAGAATGGACCTTTAAAAATACAATTATTTCATAGTTACCATAAGTGGTACACTTATTACTCAATGGAAATTTGTGTAGGTGTTCTGCTTCTGAGAACACTAGGACAAGTGATTTAAGTAAACTGAATTATGGATGGACCAAATTATGAATAAAAATTTAAGTATAAAGAATATAATAGACAATCTTCTTGTATTTTAATTATTCTCAGCACATGAGCTATTTGTTTTTTTAACCAGCCAACTTTAGCAGAGGGAATATTTTTCT